TGAAAAAAGAAACGACCTCCTCACACCATATCCTCCTGCAGGTCCTGAGCTCTTCCTCCGCACGACGACAAAAACGGCATCCTCCTTCTCGTTTGGACCCCGACTCCTTGGGGGTAACGCGCAATGTCCTCCTCCCCCTCCTAAACGTGCATGCTATCGTGGCAAGTGCCGTTTAGGAAATCCAGTGGTGCATGCTATCGTGTAGCTAGAAAAAAACTTTTGACTTGCGCGTGGGCCGAAGTTAACCGACGTTGCGCTGCACAAGCGGAGGCGGCCCTTGAAAGGCCCCCGTCCGAAGTGCGGCGAGCGCGAAGATAATCGCGAGTTGGCCGTGATTCCGTAAAACTCTCGAAACGATGCCTGTCTCGTAAAGTCTTGAAAATCTCCACGACCCCCTTCTGAAAACGCTAGGCCGCAGCTAAGCGAGGCGAGCTCCCTTCCCGCGGCTTCCAGGGAACCCGTGCGAGCGTCGGGGGCGCTGTCCGTCTGAGGTTAGGGGACACGAGGGGGGGGGGCCCGGAACGGGGGGGGGAGGGAGGGAGGGGTTGCCAGGACGGGGGTGGGAGGGAGGGCGGGGGTGCCGCAACGGGGGGGGACGAGGGGAGGGGTGGCCGGAACGGGCGCCATAAATTTTATTATGAATTTTATTATGAATTTTAAAATTTATAGGGGAGGGTCCCGTTCGATACATTCGAAAATTTATGAATTTTATAAATTTTAAAATTCATAATAAAATTTATGGCGCCCCAGCTCTTCCCCATCCCCTCCCACTCCACCCCCTTCCGTCCCCCCGCCCACCCCCTCCCATCCCATTCCCCTCCCCCCCCGTCCCCGCCCCCTCCCTTCCCCTGCCCCTCCTCCCCTTCCCCCACCTCCTCCATATCCATTTCTTGTTCGAGCGGGAAAATCGCGTGTTTCGCTCGGGCGACGGCTGCAGCATGGGGCCCAAGCGCCGAGCCGACGCTCTGCCGAAGGCGTGCGAAGAGCTCAAGGCCATGCTCGGAGATAACGTCAGTGCCGAGGGAATCCAGAACGCGAGCGGGGCTCTTCGGAACCGCGCATTTGGTGGCATGCGCACCGCTCTTGATGTGCTCAACCCAGAGAAGGCTGCCCAGTTCCGCGAGTTGGAGAACGACGCCCAACGTCGGGCATGGTTGGCAGAGTACTTGCTCGACCCGAAGAGCGGCGGCTGCGTGGGCTCGCACGACGAAGACGTCGGATACCGACACCGAGGAATGGGCCACTCTGTCTATGCTCGAAGGCCCGATGTATTTCAACGATGCGAAGGTCGCGAAGATCGCGATCAAGTCGATGCAGTCCAGGCCGCACAAGGGGAACGCATCCTTGAGGGAGGCTGGCATCTTGGAGTTCAAGTTCGTGAGGGACAAAAAGAAACGCCAGAAGACTCTCGAGGAGGGAGTCTCGGCGGAGCAGACGTGCGAGATCGACGATCCAGAGGACTACGTGGCGGTCAGGAATCACATGGCCGACTCCGCGAACCCAGGCAAGAGCAACCCAGCCGACGTCATTCCGCCGAAGAGGAAGCGCACTGGCCCTGGAGCTCGAGATCCCCCGCTTCCTCCGAACCCCGAGGAGGCGAAGCTCAAGGAGCTCAGGGCCGAGGCAACCAAGTCGATGCAGGGCATGAAGTCGACCTTCGACCGCATCCAGAGAGACTTGTCGGAGGTGGCGGTGATTGAGGGGAGGCTCAAGGCGAGGAAATGGAACTCCGAGGGGCCCCTGGCTTACCTCAGAGCGGAGACGGAGAAGATCACCGAGTTGAATGGCCAGCTCTTCGCCGCCTGGGCGGAAGCGAAGCAGGCGATCGACTTCTCTTCCGAGACGTCGCACCAAGCGCTCGAGGATCACAAGGCCAAGATGGATGCCGATGCGAAGAAGACCCTCGACGCGTACAAGAAGTACGCCAAGGAGACTCTGTCTGAGTTCGCCAAGATGAAGTAGGGCAGTGCGTGCTCGAGGATGCGTTTTTTGAATTCATGCGAAAACATTGCTCTTGACCAGCTGGTCTACCAGTATGATCGTGGGGAGTTCTACGGCATGCTTGCAGTGTTGGCGCTACTCAGAGATAGTAGTTCGAGCTATTCCAATCGAAACCAGCCTAGCATTGGCAACGCATCGTCAATATCATCGTCATTACTATCATATCGTCATTGCTCTTACTAACATCACCATCGCCATCATTACTATCTGGGCGGCGGCTCCTTTTCAAAATGGGGCTCTCGCCCGAGACTTCCTCGCATTTGATGCTCCTGAAGCTTAAAAAATACAACAGCTACAAGGATGGAGGGCGGCTCCTTTTCCAAATGGGGCTCTCGCCTGAGACTTCCATGTCTTTTATGTTTCCTCCAGGTCCCTCCTCCCACTGGAGGGTCTACCGTCATCGTTCGTTATCGTCAGAACTGCACCGTAACATGTTTGGCTCGAGCTTATTGTCAGGTCTCACTCTATAACGCCGCCCAAAGGTGGCGTTAGACAGCAGTTGAAACGCGCTCGAGAGGCAGAACTCGAGAATGATATCGATATTCATGCAACGACGTCGGCCATCAAATCTTACGCTACGGGTGGAAGAGAGCGTGCAACGTCGATCGGTGATTTTTTATCCTCGATGTATTTGATCGGGCGCATGAGTGCGCGTGAGCTGCAAGAGGGTTGTGCTGCAGCTGGCGCGTCTGGCGATTCGAAATGTGAGTTGCTATCCAGAGCTGGGGGCAGCGGCGCCCACCGTGGGAACATGCACAGGGATGCGGTATCAAAACTTGGCAAGAAATGCGACAAACCTCCCATCTACTCAACTACTGTGAAAATGTGGGACAGCGCAAGCAATTCGCCAAAAGATGAGGAGTGTTACTTTTTGCTGCCGCACGAATATTTAGACTACGAAGTGGGCCGATCATCGTTGGACGAGTGGGTTGGATTTGAGAGAAATAAGTTTTTGAAGAATACGTTAGATCGCTGGAGAGAAGACGTCGGAGCGACAGATGGCGTCGACGACGTCGTTGCCATGGGCTTGTGGGGCGACTCAGCCAGGTTCAACACGCGTGACTCTATATATGTGGTTATGTGGAATGCTTTGTCTGGCTCGCATCGCGAGCGATTTTGGGCATGCGGATTCTCAAAAAAACATCTCTGTGCGTGCGGCTGCAAAGGTCGCCATACGATGGACAGTATATTTCGCATTCTGGCATGGAGCTTCTCCCAACTGCTATGTGGTCGGTGGCCGAGTGTCCGTGACGACGGCACCCCGTTTTCACAAAGCTCGCGTCCTGGGGATAAATGGCGGCACACAATGGCGACGAAACAGAAGCACCTACGGTGTCGAGGCGGCTGCGTCCAGAAACGAGGCGACTGGTCTTGGTATAAAAGTGTACTCGGCTGCACTGGCTGGGGCGGGGAAGGGGAAGATAAACGATGTTGCTGGAAGTGCCTGGCAAACTTTGGTTCATTACCTTTTACAGACTTTTCAATGCAAGCTGCCTGGCGGCTCACATGTCTTTCGGATGCGCAGTACATTAAAAACAAATTCGATTTGGGTGGATATGTGTCTGCGCTCTTCGAGATCCCTGGTTTCAAGGCGTCGTACATCAGTGCCGACTTAATGCATACATCAGATTTGGGTGTTCTGCAATATATGATCGGATGTTGCATGTGGGAATTGTTCAAAGAAATGGGCGGTGTGATCGTTCGAGCACAAGAGACGCTCGCTGATTTAATGATTATGTTTAAACAGGCTTCCAAAATGATTCCAGGCATGGATCGCCCGCCAATGAACACTGTAACAATCACTATGCTGCAGGGGAAGCGCGGACCGCGCTTGAAAGCGAAGGCCGCCGAAACTCGCCACATGCTATTTTGTTTGGAAATAGTCCTGCGAGTTTTCTTCCCGACTGCAAATTACCCAGATGGCCCAAAAAGGGCCCACGCTGACTTGAGGTACAATTGTGTTCTTCACGCTACAAAGATGTACGAGGCGCTGGCTGTAGGTAAGCTTTCCGGTAACTGGGCAGTGGTAGTTGCTGAGCACGGCCGTCGGATGCTCCTTCTGTATGCAGAGCTGTTCTTGGAAAGTATGCGCGTGCGAGGCGGCCACGCACAGGGATTCATGGTGTGGCGGTTGTACCCTAAATTCCATTTACTGCAGCACATCCTAGACGACCAGTTGGCGGTCACAGGGCATCCGATGGAATCGTGGTGCTACGCGGACGAAAGCGAGATAGGGGCGACGGCGTGCATGGCAGAAACGTTGCACCCCTCGACCTTACACCGAACTGTACTGGTGAAGTACAGGCTGTTGTGAGAGGAAAAATGATGCATGCCACCTCCTCCTCATCCTCTCCCTCCTCCTCCTGCTCCTCCTCTCCCTCGGGCAAGCGGGGGAGGGGCACGATCAGTCGAATATTATATCCCAGCCCTCTCGGGATCAGATCCGCCTCCCCCCTCTTGGGCATTCCCACGGCTCCGCCGACCCCCGCCCGACCAAACATATATGTGTTGTGCATACATACATTGCATACATATATACATATACATATACCTATACATATACATATACATATACATATACAAATACATACAAACATACATATACAAATACATATATTATACATATACATACATATATAAATGTATGTATATTTACAACATATTTTGGTGGGTCCCACTAAAATTTTGGTGGACGCTGGAAAATTGGCGATCCACTAAGATTTTGCCAGTTCCGATGCTCGGGGTCCGGCGCCGGGAGGCGCCGGGAAAGTCAGCTACGTGAGCTGATTCTCAAACTCCCCCTTTGCTATCATTTCCTTTCGCCCGACCCGAGAATGGTCTTACCAGCCTGGAACCTATCCCTATCCCTATGTTGGGCATAGCCTCGTCACGATGGCGATCTTAGGGATTCCCTCAGTTTCGATTGTCATCGCCTTTTGGCGTGTCAATCTCAGGGATAGGGATAAGTTCAAGGCTGGTTATGGTCGCCCCAGATCCAGGCATGCCTCACTCCTTCTTCAACGGCAAGACGGGCATCGTCTTCAACGTCAACCGCAACGCTCTGGGCGCGGGGCCCGACGCGCCTGCGCTGCCGACGCTTGGCAGCGGTCAGGCGGGAGAAGCGGAGGAGGAGGAGGAGGAGCAGGAGAAGCAGGAGGAGGAGAAGCAGGAGGAGGTGGAGAAGCAGGAGGAGGAGGAGCAGGAGGAGGAGAAGCAGGAGGAGGAGGAGGAGGAGGAGAAGCAGGCGGAGGAGGAGCAGGAGGAGGAGGAGGAGGAGGAGGAGGAGGAGGAGGAGGAGGAGGAGGAGGAGGAGGAGGAGGTGTGTGTGTGTGTCTCTGTAAGGGGGGGGGGAAGTGGAGGGAGCAGGAGGGCGCAGGAGCGCCTCCTTGGCCCTGCCGCGCCTGCGCGCCTGCGCCCCTGCGCCCCTGCCCTGCGGCGGCGGAGCCCTCCGCCCCGCAGCCGCCCGCACGGCACGTCTGGCGCCCCCGGCCCTGCGCCGGGGGCCGCGCGCTCCTGCCACCTGCCCTGCAGCGGAGCCCGCTGGGGCCGTGGCTCCCGTGGCCCGCCTTCTGCCCTGCCCTCCGCCCCCCTGCCCTCCGCCCCCTGCCCTCCGCCCTGCTCCCCGGCCTGCCTCCGAGGCCCCCTCGGGGCCACGAGGAGATCACCATGCACGGGGGGTCGCGTCCGCCGAGTTCGGCCTCATGGGGGCCCTCACGGGCCCTCGGGAGCGGCAGGAAGCGGTTCAGGGCTGAAAACGGGTGCCGGGGAGGGGGTGGAGGTTTCTGGAGGTCGACCACACGTAAGGGTGGCGTTTCGCCAGAGTGACCTTTGGTGCGGGCCCGCCGGGATCCCCAGATGATCGATTTTGCGATGCGACAGCAGCGTCGTGCAAGCTCGGATGCGGCCTCCCCGCGGACCCCGGAAAGTCGCGCACCAAAGGTCTCTCTTGCCGACAGTCAACCCGCATAGCAAGGATGAACACCTTTCCAAAGCTACCCTTGCACCTTGCACCTGTGCCCCTTCGGTCCATCCTTAGCGACGGTCGCTGGCCAAACTCGTTTGAACAACGTCAAATTGGCCCTCCAAAGCCCTTGCAGTCTTACCGCGCATTCTGATTATACGGGTTGGCTGTAGGGTCACTCTTGCGTGTAGCCGACGGAGGTCGACGTCGTGGTCACATCAGGACGTCGGGTCGCGCGGCCGCGAGGGAGGAGGAGGGGAGTAGGCGGACAAGAAGGAGGAGGAGGAGGAGGAGGAGGAGGAGGAGGAGGAGAAGGACGAGGGGGAAGGAGGAGGGGGAAGAGGAGGAAGAGGATGAAGAGGAGGACGAAGGAGGAGGAGGAGGAGGACGAGGAGGACGAGGACGAGGACGAGGGAGGAGGAGGAGGAGGAGGAGGAGGAGCAGGAGGAGGATGATGAGGAGGAGGAGGAGGAGGATGAGGGTTGGCTGCGTCTCTCGTCGCCTGCCCCTTCTGGCCTGCTCCCTCGTGGCCTTGCACCGACCCTCGAGCAGGGGGAATCGACTGACCGCGACGACGACGATAACAACGACGACGACGACGAATGCGACGACGACGACGAAGTCGACGACGACGACGACGACTGCGACGACGACGACAATCACGACGACGACGACGACGACGTCTACGACGACGACCACGACGACCACAACGACCACGACGACGACGACGACGACTACTACGTCCACGACGACGACGACGAAGACGACGAAGACGACGAAGACGACGACGATGACGACGACCACGGAGACCACGACGACGACGACGGCGACGATGACGACGGGACCACGAAGTCGACGACGACGACAACGATCACGACCACGACGACGACGACGACCACGACCACGACGACGACGACGACGACGACGACGACGACGACGTCCACGACGACGACGACCACGACGACGACGACGACTTTTCGCCCACGCGGTGCGGTGTGCCTCTGACCCGAGTCGTCACAACGCGCAGGACGGGCGCGGGAGCCTGCAGCCCGAATCTGGATATTATTGGCAACGCGACGATTCTCACACGGCTGGCAGATTCGGGAGGGGTTGTTCTGGGGCATCGCTCCGTCGGGGAAAGCTCAAAACTGATTGACCCCAAGGCTGATTTCTCCGTCGGATGTTCGCAGATCCACGGAGCCTCCGGTGCATGTTTCGTAGACGCGACGAGGAAACAAGTTGGGGGCGAGTCCATTCTGCAGTCGACCCCCCACTCGAGCCCTGCTCGCTGCCGCCGCTGCCCCCGCCTCGGGGCCAGAGGGGCGCGGTGCGGCCGAGGCGTGGAGATGACAAAGATCGTGGGCAACCGGCAGCTGAAGAAGGACGAGTCCCGCCCGGCGGTGTAGAGAGCAAGCAGGGGGCGGGGAGCAGGCGAAGGCGGAGGAGGAGGAGGAGGAGGAGGAGGAGGAGGAGGAGAGAAATGATTGAAACGGAAGAGGAGGAAGAGGAAGGAGTGCACGGCGAATGGTCCCGTGGGG